GTGGGACAAGGCTCTGTTCACACAGCAGTCCTCAAATTCGAAATTTTGCTCAAATACTATTTTTTGCACAAACATTTTTAAGCAGCATTTATTCAATCCTAATGCACAGGAAATGATTCAACGTCACAACCAGCTTGCTGTAATGCTACAGGTTAGCATATTGATTAAGAAGTTGTTGTGCATTCAGATTTGATTAAATATTTGTCATCATATCTATCATATCGAAATGAGGATTAAGTCAAATTTGGTCAAAATGACCTAACTACATTTTCAGATTTGTGGCTTTAAAAGCTACATTTTGATACCTGGATCATTCTGATATCATAAGCTTATCCAGAGATATGCCTTCATTTGTCTTGTTGGTTATGATAACACATAACTGTTTGGTCTGAATCCTAATTTTAGGTAAATTTATTGAGTCATTTTTTGAAGTTAATATAAAAAGAAAACCTCAAATATTATTTGTATATTAAGATTTCCCAGCTGGAAAGAAACAAAAACTTTGCTATCTCACAGGGAATATCTCAAAATTTAAAGATGTTTTCCCTCAAAATCAGGTTTTTTTTGTTGCTACTTCTCAAAAAAGTACTTCAAAAAAATTTTTTAATGATTATATTTCACACAGTTAATTGAAATGAAATTGATAAGGCATTTATTTGGTATATTTTGACGAAATGCAATTTTTGTAAGTGTTTTAGTCAACACTTATATTTGCCTATTTCTCCATTTACCACATTTAGACTTGATCCTTGTTTCKATGTGATGGGTCACATATTTATTCTTTATAACTTTTACACCAAAAGATGCTTAAAAATGGGCAAACTATTCCTTTCACCAGGCATCTTGATTAGGTTTTACAGTCATTTAAGTTTCTTTAAAGTCACGTATCTGCCTGAAAACACGTAAACTATCTGGTTTAGGAGAAGAAGGCCCAGTTCATATAACGATGTTACTTTCTTTAGGAGACTCCAAACTAAAAAATGCAGGAAAAAAAACATGCTCTATTTTTTCCTTCTCATACTCGAATCAGAAACCATTAAAAGTCTGATTCCTCTGTTGTTAATGTGAGCATCAGGATGTAAAGAGCCTCTCCTTTACATTGGCATCATTCCCACGCCGCCCAAAATAAAAAAAAAACACAAACCATTTGTGTTCCTGTTTCTTACTCCTACTGTGTCACACTTTCATGTTTTAATTAAACGTGTCAGGCAACACCGTCTGAATCATTATTTAAAAATGTCTTACTTGATTAAGCCTTTCTCCACAACTGACCCAAATTACTCGACTCGTATCGATGGATTGCTAAAAGATGGGCTTTATTATTGCAGTGTGTGTTTTAGCAGGTTGCACATCAAATCAACCATTCTGCAGCAGGTGGCGTCTTTTTGTTTTTAGGGATATGGATCCAGTGTAAGGGTTCTGGTGTCAGCTTTTCTAAATAATGTGGTTATTCCAGCCTCCCCTGAGACCCAGTTTCTCGCTGTCCCTCAACCCTCCCTTATTTTTTCAGTATTCTTAAATGTTGTCGCCATGGATACAGCTGGTGGTGGAAATGAATAGCCCCTCACCAAGAAACATCGCTGTTGTCATGGAAGCAGCCCCCCCCCCCCCCACACATGATCTCGGTCAGCTCATCATGATGATGATGATGATGATGATGATGATGATGATGA